GACTTGAATATGGCCATCTTTTCTGTCCCCCGCCTCCACTCACCGCCCCCGACTTGAATATGGCCATCTTTTCTGTCCCCCGCCTCCAGTCACCGCAGCCACCTGGCCGCAACCTCGCCACCCAAACAGCACCTCGCATATCGTGGCCCCTATATACGAGGTGCTGTTTGGGTGGCGAGGTTCCTTCTCGGATTGGGACGTGTTTAAGGATATTGTCAAGTACCAACACCCATGCATTGGCCCTCTTGACGTAAGCTCTGGAACTTCGAACCTGGAAAATAAAAAGGTTAAAGAGTCTTTTTTTCAGATGTCTTCACACTATTCTTACCTGGAACTTCGAACTCTAATGACAAACATTCTGTGTATAAGTTTACAAGCTGATCTCAATACCGCAGCACACTGTCGACGCTGCTGTAGCTCGAGGAGATGCCGGCTGGAAGCAGCGGTACTGCGCAGCTCCTGCTCAACAGTAATGAGAATAGCGACATGTAGAGTATGCGCAGAATTTGCGGTGTACTTTCTTGTACAGCGGCGAATTTCACATTGGACAACCTTTCTATTCTCTTTTCATACCCGCCCTCGATTGGGGCATACTTTGAGTAGATACAAGTTTGGCTAGCTGATGTATTTATAAAGCGCTTTAATTCTAACTCAAAATTGACTAAGATACCTCATGCTAGGATATTAGGAGTCCATCGCGCAGCTCCGACACATACATTTCTCGTTTCACTACTTCTGTGGCCACATTCTGCGTTTTTCAACGTCTCTCCGGGCTCAATAGAGTGAGCGTAGTCTCGTTCCATCCGGCTAGACTTGTTTGGGCTTCGCCACTGTCGTCCCGCTGGTCGTCGTCGTCGCCGTGCCAGGAGTCCAGCTGTGCACAACAATTTGCTGTCAGGGCGTGAGAAGAGGGGGGGGAAGAGAAGATCTTTCGAAATATTTAATCTAACAAGTTCCAAGCTCCAGGGACCAAAATTGTTCCCTCTAACTATGCCGCTGAAACGAGTTTTTTTTTTTTGCGAACTTTTACTGTCATTTTTAGATGTTCCTTGGCAAATTAGTGCTTACGTGAAGGCGATTTCCCTTCGAACCTGGATAATGGCATTAATTTATTTTCCAGATTTGAATTTCCAAGCCTTTCGTGAAGAGGGCCATAGTGTTCAAGTAAAAACAATAATCTTATTGCACAATGTCATACCCATGAGGAACACCACGATCCCAACTCCTCATGTTAGGGAATTGTCCTAAACCGCGTCAACGTCGCAGCGGACAAGGCAAGCAAAAGCGATGGGTTGGTTGAAGCCACGCAATAAAAGCAAGGGAAATCTAAAACGTTGCATGCAGGCGACCATAATGGGGCTTCGCTCAGCAAGAACGCATAATCGCTTGAAATTCGTTCTTTCAAGTCCAACATCCATTCTGAATACTAGTAGTATATCCACTCAGGTTTCCAGCAGTGACATTCAGAATCAAGCTTGGCTAATTATACACCATCAAACACAGTGAACGTTGCAAAAGAGATAACACACTTGCGTCGTGTTGTCGAGTTCAATCTATCCTCTTTCAATAGCTTCGAATCCGCTTTTCAAGCGCTTATGGACACCTTAAACCGTGTCATCATGGCGAATACATTTTCATGAAGAGAAACAAACCGCTGAACTATGGATAGTTTCCGCTGCTCTTGTGAAGTTTCGCATACTTGTTGTAGAGGCGTCGGTACTGTTCAAAGTTGCTCACATCCAGAATGTCGAAAACCGTCATGGACGAATAGTTATTGTTGAGCCATTGAGCGAAGACCTGCTTTCGGTAAGTTTTATCCGACAGCATTTTGGCCCTGTCTAAACCAGTTCTTTCTTCTTCATCAGGTGCGTCGTCGCGGATGTGATCCGTTTCGCGGAGTCGCAGGGACCTTTTACTCTCGTTGGCTTTCGAAGTATGGATGAATTTGTTCGAGTCGGGCTGCTGGATTGTCGAGATCACTGATTTCCCGGAATCGATTGTCAGTGTGTTGGCACTGGCAAGTAGAGCAAACGCAGAAACTGCTAGCAAAGTGCTAGACAGATGCATTGTGGCAGGGTCTTGGATCGATGGGAAGACGGAGCTAGAACGGCCGACGGTGGAACTTGAGCTCGACACAGCAACTTGTGGAATGAATTCTAACCTTTCCATGGATAAGCGCTAATGCTCTGTCTGAACCTCAACAACAAATTCAGGCCATCTATATAGGACCGGCGTAGTGTTATCGCTATGTACTTCTGTCGACGATGTTTTAGCAAGTCCACTCGATCTGTAATTACGGCACAACTAATCAGGCAAATAATTGCAGCAGCTCCCAATCGCAGTGGTTCTGTTTAGGTACGAATTAACTTAAAAACGTGCTACTTACACATGTGCAAACATAATGGTAGTCCTATGTGGCACCTTTTTTTTCTCGGATAAAGGTTTGAATAATCATGCTGGTTTGGCATGACGTGCACCAAACATGTAGCTAGTTGTCCGTGATATGAGCTGGGCTGCTTATTAAACGTATATTTATCTATATAATTTGCCTTACTCGGCCATTTCGGCCATTCCATCGATATTAATGAAATATACTCCCAAGAAACGGTCTGGTAAATAACTCAGCTTGTACGAAAAAGCGCTCTACATATTAATTGGCAACTATTGTGATAATATGTAGGTGATTTCCCTCTAGTGGCGTAAATTGGACAGGTGATTAATTACATGTCGCACACGCCTCAACAGTATGCACAACTCGCTTTATCGATCGAATCAAGTGGATTTGCTTTAAATTTTCAGGTTGATGCATAAAAATGAGATAAATATTGCGCTTCAAGTGCTTTATAGAATGTTTGTTGTTACTACTAGAGACCATCGCTACACTACCCTTTTCTGTATCGTACAATTACTTCGTGGGGCTAACTTAGGGTTGTTTTGCTTCTTTTCGCAACACTAGCGTGGTCTTAGTAGTGTGCTTGATAAGTTGATTATCCAACTGATAAATCCGGAGAATCTGTGCTGAGGTGTGGACTGTTGAATGAACATGGGCTATATTTTGCGCCAAAGAACATGGCTAAAAAAATATGAGAATATAGCGCAGGAATTGATATTCTGTACCATGGAAGTGGTGAAGCGATTATCATGTTGCACTGAGCGCAAAATTTCCTGTCTTGATTCCAATTTTACCTTTCTCAAAAAAATAATTGTATCAACATTTTTTCGTGAGGTTATATTTTCTCTGTCCTGAAGTACAGGACCAATCTAGTTTGAAATACCTATAGTCTACTATTCTTCATGTTTCTTTGAATGAACCGCCCCCAAATCGCCCAGCGTATACAACTCCGTATACTGTCGCGTTTAAGTACGAAATAAGATCTTGACATATGGCAAGAACAGGCGTGGTGGGTTCTACTAATGACTTGGATTTGTAAGTGAGCGATTGTCCTCCCACGACTCAAACAGACCCAAATCGGCAATTTTGGACGGAATTTACAATATTTCGGGATAACTAAAGCGTGCTTGTTGCGTAGTATTCTGACGGTTACTTAAAATAGAGGGATTAATCCTTTTCTCAACTGAATGTATGTACGGATGTATAATTTTTGGATTTTGACAACACCAACAAAAGATGTCCAAATCTTACAATATCTATACGGTAATATCATAGCAACATGACGATTCTCCCTCGAGTGATTGTGTCGGGAGACTACTCTTTTTTTATTTCTAGTAAGCCCGGGGACACCAATGTAACACAGGTTTCTCAGAGACAGAGTTTTAGATTCCCCATATTTACGTTTTCACGCAAAACTATAGTCTGCTGGTCGTTAACGAAGCGGTTTAAATGCTGGAGAGTAGCTAACTCGAAAAATAGACACGAATCAAGTATTTGCTGGATAAAATCATCGCTGGTATCGCAATAGACCTCTTTCGTACCTGTGACGTGCTCGCGATTTGGGAGCTGGAACTCCCGAAAACCAACGTGTATTGAACAGTGTTGGTTGCTTTGATGCAGATTGTAAAGTGAACTATCTATTCTAATTCGCATACGCATCCGCCTGTCACCTCGGCAGTCCAGGGGATGTCGCCTTTGGAACTTCTACTGATTGCACCCAACTGCAACCAGTAACAACATCTGTGTCCTTGCTTGTCTTCTGCGGCAGCAACTGCAGGTTGAACAATGAGCCTTGTTGCAGATCTGCTTAACTATAGTCGAACAGTGAGCCTGCCAACTACGTTGGCTGCGGGTTGGAGGAGCTGTCGTAAGATGTAAGCTTGATACCATCACAGTACCTAGTCGATTTTTTTTTGTTTTAGAAATCGATTTATATTTTGCACGTGTAAAGATGAAAAACACTCGTTTGATATTGGAAATTACTAGATATTTCTGGCAACTCCTTAAGCGAAAACATTGAAGAAGAAGTTGAGTTCACAACCATTCATAATATACAGTCATTTCGTGAGCCCGAAACAGGATTTTTTTTGTTGTTGTTGTTAAAAGTCCATTATTTTTCGACACCAAGTTTGACCAAATACTAAGCTAGTCCATGTATTATTCGGCGGTGCGCGCTACCTTCTGAGCTGTTGCACAAACCACCCATTGTTGTATTTTTGAATTTTGTTTCTATCCGGATTTTGAATGTGGTAGAAAACAGCATCATCGTCATGAACTCTGCATGAAGCTTTTGGTGCGGCTGCAAGCAGGCCCAGGCAATACGTAAATATTGCTAAGCTGTGCTATGACTGGAATAGCATAAAGCAAAACAATGTAAGAAACTTCTTGTCCAGTGTTCTCCACCTGTGACGGCTTACAATGTCAAAACAGTAGATTGAGGGCAAAACCTCCCACAAATGACAACGTATATTGCTCGCTGGAATGCTTATTGGATACTGAACTAAATCTACTCCCTTGCCTCCCATACCTCGCACCCCAGGAACTCCGTATTGATGACTCCGTACAAGGTCAATTTCAAGCACGCCATTCCGCCGGCTTTTATCAACACATCTCCTGCGTGCACATTCGACGAGCCGTCACCATGGCTTTTGCTTTACAAAAGTAATATAGAATCTAACAACCGATCATGCCACGTTGAAGCCTTTAGCACATGCTGATAATAACTGTAAGAGGAAAGCTTTTCAAACTCTCGTTAGTGTTGTAAAAAAAAACGAGCGAATAGTATCTAGTTCTGCGGCAGTAAGACTGCACCATACGTTGAACTGTTCGCCAAATCAGGTGTCATCATGGTTGTGATGAGGCGCAACCTAAAGCTGGCCAAAGTATTGGGACACCAACGCATAACTCGTCGGGGTTGTTGGAGATGCAGCTCCCTTGCTTTTCTTTTCAAGATCCTTAGTCTTGAAAAGAAAAGCAAGGGCGCTGCACTTCTCCAATTGCAGGTTGTTGATGACACCTCAATATCAATTCCGACGTACTTCTGGCTCTGTTAATTTTCCAATTAACGGCTTCAACCACGATAGTTTTCTGCATCTCTACAGTGATGTGGTGGTCGTCTTCTTGAATGCTATTGATAACGTTCTGCATAGTCTTGGGGTTTGATGTTAACTAGTTCGACATGAAATTTGTCTTCTACCTGATTACCTTCTTAGGTACTACAATGTATTGGGTTCATGACAACTTGCACACGAACTGAGTTCGAAAAGAAAGCATTGGTCGCTTTCCCTTGGGAAGGAAAGATATAATGAAGACGTATTCCAGCACCATCAGCATTGAGACTAGATACTCGCTTCAGGTGACGAAGACCTCTCGTGAATAAAATCATGCCAGTCTGGAAGTTGCCATTTGTCGAAACGCTTGAGTTCCTCCTTGTCAAACATCCCATTGATGGCTACACTCAACAGCTTCCCGACTTCTTTGTGTCCTTTAGCTGAGAAATGCAGCCCATCAACGAAACATGTCTGACGCTCTTTCACATCCGGGAACGCAGTATTGAAGTATGTGTGTAAGTCCAGCACGTGCACGTTCTCCGCCGCTGCCAGCTCCACACACGCGCGAGCATATTTCCCAGCAGAAGCATTAGAGCGATCTCCGTGGCGCTCCGAGTCAATGATACAAGGTGGAGTGATCAACAGGACTTTGCCTCCCGGAGCCAACAACGGCTGGATCATGTGCAGCATCTTCTGTAGATTGGCTCGATATTCTTCCAGTGGTACATGGACAACTAAGTCCGGACCGCCCACGATCGCGTCGTTGGCTCCCAGGAACAGCGTGACGAACGACGCGGAATAGTGGAACTGTAGTTCCTTGGTGAAAATCGGCATACCGTGTTGTAGTACCCATTTGGTATTGTAGCCCGAGAGTCCGCGGTTGATCGTATCGACTGATCGCACATAGTGGTTCTGTAGGAGGGTGATGAAGCCGGACTTGCTTGGATCACTGGCCTGTTCGGTGATGGAGTCGCCGATGAAGTAGAAGACAGGACGACGGTCGGTGGAGGCGACGAGACCCATGGAGATCCTTCGTTTTGAGTGAACAGGAATAAACAAGGGGGAGAATTCGAGGCGTTTCAAATCTTTAAGAAAATTCAAGCCAAATAGAGATCCATGAGTTAGATACCAAACATACAGGAACTGGTTTAAAGAGATGTCGAGTAAGGAGACTAGTAGAGAGTTCTCCCTTGCAGCTTGAGTCAGTCACCTGTAGCTTGTACACGCCGTTTAATGAGGCCAGACAAGTTAAGTAGCTGCCATCACAAGCACATAAAATGTATCTCATGAGCCCTTGTCTTGAATCTCCTAGCAAGTATTTTGAAGATATCAGTTTACGATCGAATTTCCATGACATCGATTGACCGTCATCACAAGTACCTTGATCCCTGACGTGGGTCAGTTGGGTTGTTTGTTGCCGAAACATCAGATGGCGTTTCTCTCGTCTGGTGGTGTCCGCTCCATTGCTACGTGTACTTGCAAATTCTGTCAAAATACTCCTGCAAGGTACAATAGCAAATACTATCCTGTCTAGAGGAGAAATCGCCCAGCTGGCGAACGGCGAGGCCTTTTCATTGAAGTGACATCGTAGATGGCGGGGTTTGTATCGAAATGTTTATGGGGGCATCATGCTCTCTTCTATTTCTTGGTCTCAATGTCTGCATCTTTCACTAGTTTAAGGCGTCGGAGCCACACAACTCAAAGCACATGTCGTCAAAAGCCACAAACTCAACCAGATAAGGTCAATTGCGACTGCTACGTCAATTACGTTATCAACGTAAGCATTTGGCTTTGCCTCGCTATATAGCCCATTAGCTCGGCACAAATACATGTACTAGAGCGGAGAAGAAAGCATCAGAGGTTCTGATGCTTTCTTCATTCAGAGCCGAAATGCATGTGTGTAAATTGATGTACAACTTCCTTCCAAGAAAAAAACAATAAAATAAAAGTGAGGATATTTGCATGCCTGACGCCGTGAGGCAAGAAAATGCTACCGGTAAGGTTCGCAACTTGACCCTTTCATGGAGGATTGTGTACGTTTACCATGGATACGTTTACAGATGTTGAAGAGCCCCCATGTGTTGGCCGTATTCAACATCTTGCCGTCGCGGTCAAGGCAAATGCAGTTGTCGATTTACTCTAGAGAGAGAGTACCTGGCAAAAGGCAGTGTTCGTCTTACCACGATGACGAAGGACCGCTTTGCCACCAGTCCGTTTCCCGACGTTCATGTGTCCGAACTGGAGCGGCAGGAGCTGATCGATCTCGTCGATGTCTACGTTGAAGACTACATGAAGAAATACGAAGAGTTTGTCCAAGTTAGCAAGCGACAAGTGGACAAGCGACGTTGGGAGCACATAAAGTCAAAGGACAATCTACACGTGTATGCAGAACGCACTCGAAAGGAGCTCAAACGACGTGGAATTGAGCCAGAGAACTCGCTGAGTGCAACACAGCGACTGAAAACCAACTCACCAGTGAAAGATCTACCGGTATTTCTTAGTGTTGGGACGTTTGTGGGTGAACTTGACGACCTCATGTATGGGGTCGTGAACCCGACGTTGGATGATATGCGTATCAAGGCCTCATACGTCCACGATATTCATAGTGCTGCAGTATTATGTCCGGTGGTAGGACCCAGTAAGGACGACCCGTTCCGGTCTATCGTGATCAAGTGGATGACAGTCGATGTGCCGCTACACTCAACACACCTAGTAAAGAGCCGTGACTTCGTTTATATCGAAGCAACTGGCACCGTGTTCCTCTCTAACGGAGACCGGGCTGGCTACCATTTACTTCACTCCATCGACTTCCCGCAGACTACGCCGTTGCCCAACAAGATCCGTGCGAATTTGTCACTCTTTGGCTGTTTTAGGCAGCTCAACCGAAACACTGTCGACAATTTTGCATGTGCTACAGTGGATAATGGAGGTGACATGATGCGCTCATTGTTGCTCTCGGTTGCGGCGGGGGCGATGCTGTCAGCAACCAACTACGTCTACTGTGGGCAGATGAAGAAGCTGGCGTGGATGTTACAGCGTCACCACTCGGCGTACGACACCGAGAGGAGAACTCGCAACAGGAAAGAGTGTGTGGTGTGTTCGAGGAAAACGACCAGTGTCATTGGGAGCATTGGCAAGAGCACATGCAAGATCTGCTACGGTTGTGTGTGCTACTCGTGCAAGATTCGTCAGAATATGAGCTTTATTGTAGCTGGAGGCAAGCTGATTCAACGCAAGGTCGTCGTCTGTGCCAAGTGTATGGGCGAATCAACTCAATGGAACGCACAAGAGGCTGCCAGGGACCAAATCACAGACTACGAGGCTTGTATGAGTGATGGCGTGTGTACAAGCTACGAGGCTTGCACGGTTTCGTGCGAGTTGTCATTTCTGGAGTCGTCAGCTTCGATACTCGATCAATAGCGTGTGAAGTTTAAGTGTTAAGTGGTTGTGAGGTTATGAATGTAGCGCTGTAGCTGCATGGATAGTAGTAGTATGTGTACAATGGAATACACTTGCTGTTGGTATGAAATTATTCACCCCGAAACGCAGCTAAAGTTTGTTGATGGCATCCCTGTGGTTTCGTGTATACATGTACATTCAACTGCAGTGCATCACAGTTGACTGGAGTGTCTATCTGTCAGTTCAGTGTTGTTGCACTTACTGAATCACAATGACGGGCATCTGTGTACACGGAAGAACTACGTGATCTCCCGTCCTCCACATCGTTTAATCCGAATATAGTTGTCTGGCAGGGCGAATTGTTACTACTGTACACCAACGCACTGCCTGTTCCCTCCGCCGCAACTTCGCCACTAAATGTTCCATCAGAAGAAGGAAGAAGTATCCGCATGCAAGCGTTCCAGACTAGCGGCTGAACGCATCAATCCAGCATTACATCTACGGTCGACACTCCCGGTCGGACGTGCTTCCCAACAGCTCTCACTTTCTCGGCGCGGCGAATTAAGGCTTGCAATAGCATAACTGATCTCAGGAATTGTGCTTAACGTGTCTGAAAGCCAAACTTCCAACTTCTATGTGTTTAAATGGGAAATCGATCATGACCAAGACCAAAACCTTTCTAGTAGCAAAGAGTTGGAGACCGTGGCATTCTTTTTTATTGACGTAAGAGTTCTAAAAAGAATTCGCTTTGTTTGTGGATCGTCATGTGCCTAAGTGGTCTTTAGATGTTCGGCAAGGCAGTGTTTTGGCAAATGCAGAGTTGGTCCGGGTAAGCACAGTAACATGTTTATGATATTATCTCAATGTCGAGACGCATTGACACAAACGCACCAAGTCTGTACGTAAGTGCGCTAAAATGTAGCTAGCTACCTGCCCTTCTGACGTTCCTCGTCGCGCTGTGTGCTTTGTACCGCGCTGTAACTCCATGTGACCGAGAGAAAGCAGGTCTTTTTGTGGTCGTTTAGCGTCTTGGACATACTGTAACACCAGCCTGAAACTCTCTAAACGCACAACGCTCCCGATCCGGGAAAGCCCTCGCAAGGTCGAAATGCACATCTTCGATACAAACGCCGCCATAAAGGCGGCTTCATAGATAAACGGTAGAATAAGGTCTGGCATTAAAAGTCTTCATGTGACCGTAATACTAGCCAAAGCACGCACGACAAAGGTGTGATGACAGCACCAGTGCTGGTATTTGACAGTTTACACAGTGTACTGCGTCCATGTCGACCACCGACACCAACAACTCGAGCTCAATATTATCAAACGAGATATCAAACGAGACCATACCAAGGACTTAAGTAACGGACAATCGAAGCAGGTGTTCACGTGAGTTCGTCGACTTGAGGAGCGTGTAAGTTGAAGGCTTGATAGAGAATAAGATCTCATTGCAACTATGTACGCTTCAACGTGTACAGCTGTTGCCCGCTGTCAACGCTTTGCTCTTAGGCATCCATAGACCATGCATGTAGGCACACAGAAAGCTCCAGTCTGACTCAAGACGAAAACCAAGTCTCACTTGTAGATTTGCCTCCGCGACGATGCCTAGAGACCGATTCATCGCCAGTCCGTTCCCTCAAGTCCGGGTGAACGAGCTGGAACGACGAGAATTGCTCCACATCGTCGACACGCACGTGCAAGACTACATCACCAAGTACGTGGACCACGTTCTGGTCGACAAGCGCAAGATAGACGATCGGCGTTGGGAGCACGTCAAGAGTAAAGACAAACTTCGAGTATACGCGGAACGCACGCACAAGGAGCTCAGTCGCCGCGGTATCGAGCCAGAAACTTCGCTCAGTGCAACGCAGCGAGTTCAGGATCACTCCGTTTCGAAAGATCTCCCGGTGGTGATGGGGATTGGGACGCTGGTGGGTGATCTGGACGACCTCATGTACGGCGTTGTGAGTCCCACACTGGACGATATGCGTGTCAAGGCTTCATATATCCACGATGTTGACAGTGCTGCTGTCTTGTGTCCTGTGATCGGACCCAGCAAAGAAGACCCGTTCCGTTCCATTGTGATCAAGTGGATGGCTATCGACGTACCGTTATCGACGAATCTCGTTCGAAGTCGAGACTTTGTGTACATTGAAGCAACCGGTACTGCATTCCTTCCAACCGGTGACCGTGTGGGATATCATTTGATGCATTCTATCGACTTCCCGCAGACTAAACCACTGCCTAAGAAGACTCGCGGTAATCTATCGGTCTTCAGTTGTTTCCGGAAGAAACGTGGCTTCATCATTGAAAATTTCGCGTGGGGGATTGTAGACCCAGGAGGTGAGATCATGCGCTCTCTCGCAGTCTCCGTGGCGGCCGGAGCTCTTTTATCTGCGACGAATTATGTGCATTGTGGACAAATGAAGAAGCTCACGTGGATGTTACAGCACCACTCGCTTGAAGGTCAACGAGCAGCTCAGAAGAAACAGTGTGTGGTGTGCGATAAAAGAACGAGCTCTGCCATCGGAAGCATCGGTAAAAGCACGTGTAGAATCTGTGATGGGTGTGTGTGCCACTCGTGCAAAATCCGCCATCGTATCAACTTCATCGCGCCTGGAGGGCAACTGGTGCAGCGGAAGATTGTCGTCTGTGCCAAGTGCATGAAAGAAGCGACTCATTGGAACGCACAAGAAGCTGCTAAAGATGAAGCAAGTAGACGTGAAGTTACTTCCTCATATTCTTTCATGGACACATCCGAGTCCTCCTCGTATGATGACAACAGATTGGTAAACTCTACGAAACTAGAGGAAGCATAAATATATAAATGCTGACATTCTAGTAAAATAAAAAGAAATGTATACTCTCTTTTTCGAGCATTGTAATCGCAAATAAATACACTCGAACCATCTTTATTCTTTAAAAAAAAATAGCTCCATACTTCTGTACAACCTTCGGTTGGTGGACATGTAGCCATTTGACAACATGCAGATGGCCTTGTGCTGCGGCGCATCTTGGATACATACCGATTCAGGTGTAGCCATTTAGCCATATCGAGGTGTCCGGTCGTGGCTGCGTTGTCCATAGCTCTCGTAGAACACCCTTCTGCTCGGTTCTCGTGCAGCCATTGTACTACCTCGAGATGTCCGGGTAGAGCTGCTCCATCCATAGCAGCTCGTGTGCAGTCTTCTGTTCGATACTGATGTAGCCACTTGACCACATCTAAGTAGCCATGAGCTGCAGCTTGATCCATCGCTGCAGTAGTGCAGCCCTCTGCTCTGTTATGGTGAAGATACTGCACCACACTCAAGTGTCCATTCTGCGCAGCACCATCCATAGCGTTTTCCGTGCATTGCAACCGAGTTTCTCCCGATAGTTGGAGTTCATGAAAGTACTTGAGTACATCCAAGTGGTCATACTTAGCAGCAGTATCCATCGCAATGGTATCAAGCGGAATTCGATGCTGTCCGGCGTTGAAAAGGTCCGTCTGAAAGTCCTCCCCGTATTCTGTGTACAGCCACTGTACGACATCGATAAAGCCTTTCTTCGCAGCTAGAACCAACGTCTTCCCAGAGACTCTCTGAGCTTCTGGACTCGCTTCCACACCCACCCTTTGCAGACGTTCTAGATTGTCTCCAGTGAAATGTGCAGTGTATCCATCACAGACGGAGCTACTGGCGGTTGCACGAAGATACTTGGCTACCTCTAAATGGCCGTGTATAGCTGCAGTGTGGATCGATCGCGTCACAACTGTAAGAACTAATATCCCGTGATCGATTGTCCTGTGATTCTGCAGTGTCCACTCGACAATCCACCGCACAATCTCCAAATGTCCTCGTTGTGCAGCTATGGACACTAGCGACTCTGCCATCACCATGTCCCCTGTTATCAGGGCAGAGCGTAAGGTGTATCCAAGTCGTAGTTTGCATCTGGAATATGGCGATGTAGCCACCACACAATATCACTGCGATGACTCAGCACTGCTGCCGACATGGTGAGATTCCCCCCAACCGATCGAATGGCCTCGTTCAGTTTCTCCTCTCTGTTCCAAGAATCTACTGTCGTTCTCATACAGAATCTGCAAAATATCCATCGATCCAGCTTTGCATGCTCTGGCAACTACCTCGGACGAGACGGTGAACCCTTGAAACTTGATTAAGGACCACTTGATCGTTTCCAGATCTTGACGAGGGAGTGCGTCCTCCAGACCTTTTGAGAATAAATACTGTCTGTAGTGTTTGTCCGTGCGCATATACTTCCTTAATGTCCATCTATCGTCAGAACCATGTTCCAAACTCCTGCGTGCTGGTCCAGATACGCTCCAGCCAAGAGTAGGAGCAGACGCAGACGCGTGGGGAGGGGGGCTTGTACTGGAAGATGCACATAACAGCGGTCAATCAAGGGACTTGGTCAAAATGTGTGCAATTGAAGAATGACTTGCACTTGAGCCTTGTAAGCCATATCGTAACAAACTAATGACGAAGTGGTCAACATAATATCGAAAATCCAAATTCTGGATCTTCGAATTGGATACCTAAAAACGTCCCTCGAAAGTCATCTTTGTCATTGTTGCAAAAGCTATCTCATACTAGGTACATGCACCATGGTTTGGAAACATAGTTTCTTTGTGTAATAGGTACATGTACTTTGGAATGGAAATAAAGTTTATTTGTGTAATAGGCGTTGAATCGAGTTCATGAATGGTGTATTAGTTGCGTCTTGGGAAAAACGAAAGTGAACGACCACATACCAATACCGATATCAAAAGATCCAAGTCAAATGATACAAAATCTCACATTGCGAACGATCACCTCGCATGTAGTAGACGATACCAGTAAAGTACTTCGTAATCTCGCATGAAGCCGCATCTTACAGCTGTGTCTTTGCAGCTTTACCGGTATTGTAGGCACGTGCGAACGCTCTGTTCGCCGTTCCAAGGGCTCCAATCACCATTTGCGTTGCTCTACCCGGTCGACCCGTACACTCAGCACTCCCCACGTCTACAAGAGGAAAGCGATTTGAACAGAAAGACGACTTGAAAAATTCCCGCGTAATACATCGCGGCGTCGGACCTTACCGACGGTTCATGTACACAACGGCTTTCAAACATCCAGACTTGGGGTCACCTCGGTGACCACGAACCGTGTTGCTGTTGTCGAAAACCGCCACATAATTTAGCGACTATCCCTGTTCAGTCTCTACTCTGACCCTGCCTACATTCTACGCTGCGTGCCGGTCGTCCCGGTCGTCCCGTTGTCCACAAATCAAAGGATGAGACTTGAACGGCGTTGCTGACCTGACACAGCGGGTCAGGCGAGCAGCATATGGGCGGCACGGACTTGAGATCGTCTCACTTGGCATTTTCCCCCTTGTGAGTGCGCTTTACGATGCCCAAGGACGGATTCACGAGGAATCCCTATCCGGATCTGGATGTGACCGAGGAGCAGCGAGAACAGCTCATCGAACTGGTGAATGGATGTGTACAGACCCATTTCCAGAAATATGAACAATACTACGTCACAGACCAGCACCGCGTGGACGAGCGTCGCTGGGAACACGTCAAGTCCAAGGACGATCTCCACATCTACAGTGAGCGCTCTCAGAAGGACCAGGCGCGTAAGGGGCTTGTACCAAACACTCTGATCCAGTTAAGTGAGCACGAGAAGGACATGGCAGTCATGATGAGTGTGGGCACAGTAGTGGGGGAACTGGAAGATTTGATGTTCGGGATCATCAACACGACGCGGGATGCCATGCGGATCAAGGCTGCGTATGTGGGAGATGTCGAAAGTGGGGCCATTCTGTGTCCCGTAGTGGAACCAAGTGAAAAGGAGCCGTTCCGGTCACTAACCGTAAAGTGGATGGCGACGGATGCGGCGTTAAAGTCCCACAAATGTCGAGACTTTGTGGTCATCGAGGCGACGGATATTCTACAGCTCGAGAACGGCGAACGTATGGGCTACCACGTCCTACACTCCATCGAATTCCCTCAAACAAAACCCCTCCCGTACCTTATTCGCGGGAATATGTCGGCGGTGGCCTTCTACCGACACATTCACAGCACTATTATTGACACTTTCGGGTCGTGTATCATCGATCCGGGACAGAAGACCAAGCGTCTGCTCTTCATGCCAGCAGCAGCGAGTTCCATTCTCACTGCGACGAACTACGTGCGTTGTGGTCAGTTGAAAAAGGTGGCGTGGATGTTGCAGCGCCAACACGCTGGCTTTAAGCTGCGAGACGACAATCGGACCCACAAAGGGTGCGTTATGTGCGGGAAGAGCAAGAGTATCCCTGGAATCGGTAGAAGCACGTGCAAGCTCTGCAACGGGACCGTGTGCTACTCGTGTAAAGTACGAGAACGAATGTACTTCATCGGACAGGATAACGAGCTGATCCAGCGCAAGATCGCCTTCTGCTCGCAGTGCATGAGTAAGGCCATCAACTGTAATACCCAGGAAGCTGCGCAAGACCAAGCCACGGGCTACCACGACTCGTACGATAGCGCTTCAACATTCTCAGAGTCGACATTTTCAGCTTTCTCGGATTCCTCTTCGGTTTATCACTAAATATAATGGTTTGCAAAGGAAACGAGGTTTAGTAGGCAAAACGCAGCGAAAAGTGTGTAAGTACTGCATGTTTTCGCCAGGTTCTTGTGTGGTGTTCGCGCATTCATAGGTCGATGTGGTTACGACATCCGGTCCGTGGTAAATGCTACCACTTGACCGCCACTTTATCTTGTGAAAGTAGTAGTACATGTATACCGTTCTGATCGGCGTTCAGCAATACTGATAACCCAGGCAGCGGTATTTAGAATCTGAGTTTTAGTGTCTGTGCCATTCAATGTTGAAGTACTCAAGTACTCAAGTTTGCCGGAACGACTACATGCAGTATTCGCTGTTTCATCCAACGCAACCACATGAGCTGCTGATAGATAGCCACAGTGAGTCGTAGCCGTAGTCGTAATTGTTTGCGCCTGAATCATCATAAACTATTCAACAACGTCGTGAAATCTTCGTCTCTATCTGAACCATAGTCTATCCAGAGACTTTCTAAATTTGGTTAAGCCGCCCGAACAACCACTCGAAAGTACTTTTCCTCCGTCCGAATATCAATCATTTTTGTGAGCAATTCCCGATACGATGGTCAATTTTAATCGTGTATGCGTCCATCCATGACTTGCAGCGGCATGGGGAAGAGCGACTACCCACACCAGCAACTAGATTTTATTTTCAAATTAACCATCATAGCTTTCGGGAGATCCGAGCTCAGCAACACCAACAACATCGTCTCAAGTCTTCCCCCAAGGTACATTTCCAATAGTGCACTGTGCATTAGTGCAACACCGTTAACCTGCCATTGATCTCTGTTTTGGTCGCTGGGTAGGCGCTTTTGAAATCAGTCTGCCCCTCGAACGTGGTCGTAAAGTACACTTAACACATCGACGAAATGTGTTTTCCCCACTCATATTACTCCGCCAAAACTCTACTGACTTTAGTTTACAGTTCGTAAACCGTACCATAAATAAAGCTTGTGGGATCCGCCTTCATTATACGTTTAACATGTGAGAACAATTATAATATCCTGATGCCGTCTGTGGTGCAACGCATGGCGTAAACTTTGTCTACTCTTCCAAATGCGATCCAAGTGTCAACCGGATAAAGCTTATATTAACTTGTAAACTAAGTCATCGTGCATTTCACGCTCGGAGCATTGATGACTCGATTGAGCTTCAATCCCCTCTTTTTTAGGAGGTCTCAATGGAGGGATCAAGTTGAAGTTGAAAGTTTTAGTAAAGCCAAGTTGAAGGCAAAATAAAAAATATGTTTATGTCCTGTACATAACATTGAGCTAGGCCAATTGTGCAGGCAAACTTTTTTTTAGCGTTTGTAAGGAATGATCAGGAAGAGACTAGCTTTATAGAATTCATTGAATTCGTTAGCCCTTTTGCCTTCTGTTGGGTAAATCTTCGTCCGTTGTTGCGTTCGTTTGCTTCAAAGCCGTCGCTTTCATTCGTTTTTGCATCGGGTGACCAATCTCACAATCTCCCAGGCACTTCCGGAGCACGCTCGATCTTAGGAAGCTGGATAGGGTGGTCGTTTACGGCAGAAATGCCTTATATGACGTACAGTACACGTTCGATGGTAAACTGCTCCACACGTCAAACTCTTGATCACACGATGGGAACCGTTGCCCACAGCGCATTCAGCTGCGGATACCAATGATCGGCGATCGTTCCGGTTCGGCTCAGTTGTCGATTTCCCCAGTCAGGTACACGTGGCGATAGAACAGAACGCACCAAGATGGCCAAGGACCGATTCATCAACGCGAATCCGTATCCAAACGTCAATGTATCCGAGGAAGAGCGACTACAACTGATCGGACTTGTGGACGGATTTGTTCAGGACTATTTTCAGAAATATGAAAAATTTGTTCTCGTCGACAAGCACCAAGTCGACGAGCGGCGATGGGAACACGTCAAGTCCAGAGACAATCTCCATATCTACACTGAGCGCTCTCAAAAGGAATTGGCACGCAAAGGTCTGCAACCGGAAAACGCACCAAACACGGAACCTCTGGACGATGATACTCCTGCGAAGGAATTGCCGGTAATGTTGAGTGTGGGCACGTTTGTTGGAGAGATGGATGATCTCATGTTCGGAGTCGTGAATCCGACGCTAGATGTTATGCGGATTAAAGCCTCGTACGTGCATGATCTCGACAGTGCGGCCGTTTTGTGTCCAGTAGTTGAACCAAGTGAAGAAGAACCGTTCCGATCGCTTGTGGTCAAGTGGATGACGATCGATGTGCCGCTCCAGTCGACGAATTTGGTCAAATGTCGCGATTTTGTGTACATTGAAGCCACCGGCATCCTGCACTTTACCAATGGCGACCGTGTCGGCTATCACTTGCTGCATTCGATCGACTTCCCCCAGACCAAGCCACTTCCGAATAAAATCCGAGGGAATCTCTCAGTTTTTGGATTTTTCCGACAGATCGAAGAAAATGTGGTCGACAACTTCGCTAGCGGCATTGTGGATCCTGGAGGCGACATTATGAGGTTTCTGCTGATTCCAACTGCAGCAGAAGCTCTGCTTTCAGCCACAAACTACGTGTATTGTGGACAAATGAAGAAAATCTCGTGGATGTTACAGCGTCGACATTCCGCCTTTGTGCGGCAAGATCAACCAGAAGATTCAGACGAGTGTGTCATGTGTACAAAGAAAACAAACAATTACAAGCTTCGGGGTATCGGGAGAAGCACTTGCAAGCTTTGTTATGGCTGCGTGTGCTACCCATGTAAAATCCGCAGACGAATCAGCTTCATCGCGTTGGACGGGCAATTGATCCAGCGCAAAGTTACCTTTTGCGCTAAATGTGTGAGCTTGGCTACCAAGTGTGACGCCCAAGACGCTGCGAGGGATCAAGCAGTAGGCTACGCGGCTTACAAAGCGCTTTCAACTTCTTCGCAGTCTAACACAGTTGAGTCGTCAGTGCTTGAGTAGAAAGACACATTGAGCACATGCACGTAGTATGAATGAGTGGAGTTGCTTCCGAATAATGGGAAGCTAGTTGCTGTAAAAGTTAATGAATTAAAACTGTAAATTATGCTCGCCACGATCGATCACACTATTATTTTTGATGCTAATATCGTTGCGTCTTCGAGTTTCTTTAACATGTTTTAGCATTTTTGTTACTAGAACACTACCACTTCATCTATTACGGTTGCCAGCAACTTCGCTTCTATTACTGTCTCCCAGGCTAAGTCCAAGCTCTTCTGGCGTACGTAACTACATGGTGTACTACTCCAGAGAATAGTTGTGTCGTCCTTTGTTTTAGAACCCAAACTATTTTGAATATATTTTATAAAGTGGCCCACATCATACTCCCCTTTTTTATATACTATTTCACCAAGATGCCTCTCATATCTCCACTGGCCGCCGTTGCCTTCGTCTTTCGATCCCAGCCGGCACTCCAAAGCCCCCCCCCTCCCCCCCCCTCGCATGTCGTGGACTGCGTGCCCGTCTTGCTAGGCTCTGTGAGGCTCCTAGAGCGCATCTGGAGCAGCAGCGAGAGTTTGGAACATGGTTCTGACGATAGATGGACATTAAGGAAGTATATGCGCACGGACAAACACTACAGGCAGTATTTATTCTCAAATGGTCTGGAGGACGCACTCCCTCGTCAAGATCTGGAAACGATCAAGTGG